GATAAAGAAAAATATTAAATGATTGTTCAATTTGCAATTAAAAAAGTTTGTGGTTTACACTAAGTATTAACTCTACACTCAGGTACCATTCAAGGAAGAGTATAAATTTTTTGGCAAGCACCACCACCACTAACACATGGGTATTGTGCAACTATTAATTTCATCGTGTATTGCTTCGGTCATTGGTGGTCGCATATTTATTCAAGAACAAAATATTTTTATTGCACTAAAAACTTGATCAGTCTCTCTGGGCAAGACCCATTTTATTTAATAAAATTTATTCAATATCGATTGCTGTAACACAAACAGGGTATCGTCCAACTATGTTCATAAGGCAAAAAAGATCACTGTCTGTAAAAAAATTGCATCCAGGCTTAATAATTGGAGGATCATTTTTAGAAAATGAGTCATTTAATTTTTTTCTGTAGGTGATTTATTTTGACTATTATCGATTGTAATATATCGTAGTTTTTATGCTAGCTACTACATAACGGCTATTCTATAGCGATAGGAGATTATAACCACTCTACGTGATATGTATACTTAAGGCGATTTTTTAATTAGCCATTTTAAAACAACGTGTTTATAGATACTTATCATAGCCTTGTAGCTTATTAAAAATTAACTTTATACCTATAGGTAGTCTGTATCGATAGTTAAAAGGCTGTGATGTGTGTTCACGCCTCAGCTTTTTGGCTAACGATAAAATTATTATAATAGTATTGTTGTTAATTATTACATAACGACGTGTCTGTATTTATTCGATAGCTAGATAATGTAGCTATCGAATGTTTTCGATAAAACTACTAAAATATTTTTAAAAAAAGATACAACCCCAAGCACATAATGAAAAAGAATTTGATTGGTTGATTTAAATAGAAATCTAATTTAGATACAATTATACGTTGTGCCAAATAAGTTTAGAAAGCCATCAGCGTAACAGCAAGCAAATTAAGTAAAAAATAATAAAATTATGTTATTATGATTGTATATGAAAATATATTTATTTATATAATTACATATTACTATTATATATAAAGTTATATCTTTAACACGTTCACGCCGGCGTGTACCACCGGTGGTACACACTAGACTGTCTCATTGGGCGGCGTGTACCACTGGTGGTACACACTAGACTGTCTCATTGGGCGGCGTGTACCATCGGTGGTACACGCCGCCCAATGAGACAGTCTAGTGTGTACCACTTACCACTTTGGTTATATATGTATTTATGCAATACATATATAACCAAAGTAATACATATCTATCAACCAAAGCTAGGCTATAAACTATTTCTATCTTTAAAATATAATATTTATTACTAATAAAAAGAATAACAAACAAATATTATTGTACCAAAAAAATAGAAGTTTCTGACTGACTATGGTATAATTACATATTAGTGAAGACCAATAATAATAACTCATATTTTTATTGAAGTTCAATGTTTATTTTGTTACATAAATTCTTGTGTTTTAGATTTATCTTGAATGAATTTTGAATGTTTTTTAGTACAACTGGTATTACATTGAATGCAAAAAGATCGTCAATGGGTTTCACATAAAATGAATGCAGTTTGTTTCATCAATGATAATCTCAATGGCAGTCTATGAGCCTTGTTGTGTATCTTCTAATTTAAAACAATTTTTATGCTTCACTTTATTTATATTGGTATTTTGGTATGCACAGTTTTTATTACTTTCAGAATATAAAGATAATTTCACATTAAGACAGTAAAAATATCATTTCACATTATATACTTACATTTTATATTTGCAGTTTGAGATATTGGTTAAACAAATAAACTCAGTTTTAGCATTAGTTTATTCTGTGGTTGGTAATACTACAAGTGAATGTTATTTTAAGCACACTATCACAGCTGATTCTTGTGATGTTTTCACTCCCATCGATCAAGTCTTGCTTTAAACGAATTTACTGAAACAGCTTTAACAACAATTTTGGCAGTTTGTTATAATAATTTACGGCTTGATTTAGTAAAATATTTTCTCATTTAGTGAAGTTTTTTCTTATTATATATTTACATTTTATATTTGCAGTTTGAGATATTGGTTAAAAAGATAAACTAAGTATTAATATTAGTTTATTCTGTGGTTGGTATTGCTACCAGTGAGTGTTGTTTTAAGCACACTATCACACAGCTGATTCTCGTGATGTTTTCACTCTCATCGATCAAGTCTTGTTTTAAAGGAATTTATTGAAATAGCTTTAACAACATTTTTATAGAAAAATTTTTAAGAATATTCTAAGCTATGACCACGAGTACAATTTGATTTGAAGGAATAATTTTGCCTAAAATTAACTATATTGTAACCTTTGAAAATTTTATACAGTTGTATTATGTCTCTTCGTTGCCATTAAAAAAGACAACTTTTAAAAATAAAAAGTTTGTAAAAATTTTTTAATGATAACTTTATTTACCTTCTGTTTAAGGTAAATAGTTGTTATCTGTTTATTTTCTTAAATTTTATTAATCAAATTTTTGTTGTGTAATATTTTGTAGCCTTTCAGCTGTCTACTTTTCATCATTTGCTACGCCACTTACTACGTAAAATCTATAAAAGATGCCCTAAATTTTGTATAAAAAAGCATTTTTAGACAAAGTCAAAGTTAAAAATTTAAAGACCAAGACTTAAGGATCTCAAGGAATAAGAATAAAATAGGTGTCTTTTACATGAAACCTTACAAAAAGACTTTTGAAAGCAACAATGAAACATACACATCCAATTGATTTTATGACTAACTTTATGATCTAATCTCTAATCTCTACAATGATAATCTCTCTAATCTCTTTAGCAGTTGTTGCTTATATATATAGGCATAGCACCAATTGTATGAGTTATGTAATTAAATCACTAATCAAAGTTGGTTGAACGCTTGTTTTGTTAGAAATAAGAAGCTCCACCACATCCCAGGTAGTACCGCGCTGAACATATCACGAAGTCTATTTTTCATTTTTTTGTTTTTGTTTTGGAGTTATAGTTTAGTAAAAACTAAAATTAAAAAAAAAAAATGTTTTCTTCCTGGCTTTTGTTCTGGGCCGGTAAAAAACGTAAATTAAAAAGAAAATTTTAATACAAGTAGCGCAGAAATTTTTACAATTTATTTTTTTATTTTTTTAGAGGAACACTATGCTTTTTTTTCTTAAAATAAAATAAAGAATTCTCAACACTTTACAACTTTATTTTATTTTTATTTTATTTTTTTATAAACTAATTAATTATTAAATAAATTACTTTTACAAACACAAAATAAGAAGATTGTACTGATTTTATCGTCATAAACTTTTACAAACAAAATAAGATGCGTTTTACAATAAAAGTTCCAAGCATGTATACATGTTTAAATATAAAGTACCTGAACACATCATCCATTGACAGAATTAAACTTTTCAGTTTATATTTAAAATGCGAAAAGTATGAGATGTATCAAAATGGAACAAAAAAAAGTTATTCCAAAGATATAGTTCACAGTATATAATTTAAAATTGATTAAACAAGGTTCGAAAAAAGGGTTTATATAAAATTGTTATTTATGAACACTTTTTTTGAAACAACTAAAAGCAAATTTATTTATTGGTTTAAAACAAAAAAAATCTTTAAAAATGGATAAAAATAAGCTGTTGTTCGATATATACAGCATAAAACATTAAAAACATAAAGCTCATGTATAATGAAAATTTTCAAAGTAACAAAATCATGTTAAATGTATTTACCCCATATTTGCTTCGCACACAAGCTTCTAATATTAAGTTATGACTGTTGCATAAATTAAACAATAATGACTCTTGCATAAATTAAAATGTTAGATTGAAAATTTATATGATAAGTTCACTTTTAAAAGTTGTTAAAGCCAACATATTAAAAAACTACAACTTATAATTTCTATACTTATTTGTACCCTTCCTCACTTTCCTTTTCATATAAGTTGTATTTGCTTTCCTTTATGTATCCTCCCTCCTCTATTTATTTGAAATGCTGGACCTTTCCTTTAGATATTGTTCACTCTATATATAGATTTAAAGTACTTTAACTTTTACGTCAAATTTTCATAGATTGAAACAAAATATATATTTTTCTATTTTGTACACTGTCAAAGCTAATATTGTTATTAGTGATAAAAGCCCAAGCATTAAAATTAAAAAAAAAAATTTGTTACAAGTTATGTTCAGTTATCTAAAATTATAATAATAGTTGTCTAAAATTATAATCTTCAAGGGATTAAAGGAAAAAACGTTGTCTTTCTTGATTCTAAAAATTTAAAATTTACAAAGTTATCGATTCTTGCTAGCAATAAAAAAATATCAGATTAATTTTGTAATAATCAGTTAATATTAAATATTTCAGCCTTCACATGTGTCACATAGTGTGTGTCACATAAGTGGTATGACCATGCTCTTGTCCTTGTCTTTACTAATTATAACAGAAATATTTTTCTTTAATACTCTTGGTCATTTACCTTTTGCAATTTAACCACTTCTGTTTATTTCTCGAAGATTTTTCTAAATTTAATTCTTTTTTTTTCATTTTAATTTTTAATCTTCAGCTTATTTTCTATACCTTCACTTTTCCTAGACTTTATCTATGCATTGAAGTAATATTTTTAAATTGTAAAAAAATAACTGAGTAGTTAAAAATCAAAACCAACGGAGATTTTACAAACCGGAAATTAAATTTAAAAGTTTTTAAATGTATTTGCTTCCTAAAATGTAGTTTTGTATTTATATAAAATGTAACGATGAGTATTGCATAAAATATGCAACAATAAAAAAATGAGTTTTGTATTGCTTGCTGTTTTACAGTTTAAATCTTGTTTAAATCGTGTGTACTTTGAACATGTTTAACAAAAATAATATATTTTGCCAAAGTATAAAGACTCAAAAATTGCCTAAAAATTTTACCGTACTTTAAATTTTTTTAAAAAGAATTGCTAAATCTCACTTATGATATGATAGTGAGTTCGCCAATCAAATTTATACGTACCTTTACTCAGCTGATGGTTTGAAGAACATAGAAGATTCTTAGGTTATTACGTCAAAATTAAAACAGTCATTGAATTGTGCTAAGAAATGATCTGTTATGTAGATGCCGTGCTTTTAAAACCATTACTAAGTTATATAACAGCATGTAACATAAGTTTTGTAATATATAATACTATTGACATAAACATCGGTCAAGATAAAGTTATAATCAGAATAACTGATATAAAAATGATCATCTTATTATGAGATGTTTTAGAATGAAAACAAAATGTCAATACCACCTGCTTTGTTGTTTTGAATCATTTATTAAATTAATTTAAAATTATTACTTGTTTTTAATTTCTCTAAAATACATCTGATGATATAGAATAATAAATATCGGTAGAGTCTTACTTAAGTAAGATTTCTTTATAAAGTTTTTAATATGGATAAAAAATTAATGAGTACACTTTTTAACTTTTTTTTTTTTAAATAAAACATTAAAGTTACCTGAAAGTATATACGAATGTAATTACCTGAAAGTATATATGAAATAGCCTTTAAATGATTATAGGAGTAAACGTTAAGTTATTGGTAACTAAAAATTTTAAAAGGTTATAGGTATAAATATTAGGTTGCTGGTAACTATAAGTTTTTAGCATTAAGTTGCTGGTAACTATAAATTTTAAAGTTTTATTGGAGTATACGTTAAGTTGCTTGTAAATTTTTAAAGGTAATATGAGACTCCAATAACCATTAAAATCTTTTTGTTACCAGCAATTAAACGTTTACTCCTATTAGGAGTAAACTTTTAGTTGTTGGTAGCTATAAATTATAAATATCGGTTGAGAATCTTACTTAAAAAAAAAAAAAAATTAATTTTTAATATGAATAAAAAATTAATGAATGCACCTTTTAAATGCTTTTTAAAAAATGGTTCAATTAAATTGTAAAGTATTTTAAAAGGCAAAAAACACGCGGAGTAATTGACAAGTTATTGAGCAATTCGTGATCAAAAATAACTGAAATACGAATTCTCATAGGACCTAAATAATAGTAAATTTATATAGCTGTTTTTTATATAAGAAAATGTTTCATCTAGTTACCATTCTACTTGAATTATTAGGAGGTATCTAAATAATATAAAGGAAATGCGGATAAAACAGAACTAAACAATTTTGTCTTTGTTTTCTTTTAGGAGGAGCTTTTTCTTCATAAGAGGTTTATACAACTTTTATTAACGAAACATTTTTAAAAATCTTTTGGTATATTACAAGATGAAAAAAGATATTTAGTATTTATTTATTTTTTGGTTAAATAGAAGTTTAAATTTTAATTAGAGTCGATTTTTTTTTAACAATAATGAACTGGATTATAATTTTATTTAAAGTAAGATGGGGCTAGTTGAGGGTCGGGTTGGGCATGTAAGTTATCTTTAAAACTATGCATCTAAATCAGAAATGCAATACTAACTTTTATTTAATGATAACGTTTCTTACAAATGATAGTGGTACAATAGTAAAGCGCTTGTTTTGTAAGCGATAAGAACCAAGCTTTATTCCACCACCTTCTAGGTAGTACCATTTGTTTCTAAGCGAAAACAAATAAAAAAAAACATTTATATATAATAATCATACAGAAGTTTGACAAGTATTTTCAAAATTAGACAAGTTGAAATTATGTGAACATTTTGCCAAATATTTACATAATTTCTTATTTGCATTTAATTTTTTATCTTATTTTTTTACATCAAAATAATTTTTTTGCAAAGACGCGCAATATATATTGTGTTAAGCAAAACATAATAGGAAATTGAATAAAAAAGGATCGAATAGTAGGAAATTGAAAAACAAGATTAAAAAAGGATATTTAAAGTAACATTATTTCAACAGTTTGGCATCAAATTACCTCCACAGCATTAACTCAACATTCCTAACTTGTTGTGCATAACCTATCAGCAGTTAATTACGTCATTTCATAAGTAAAACTTTCAATATATTTGCAGCTTCAATTTTTAAGTTTTACAAATTTATTGAAATGTTCAAGAAAACTCTTAACGTTTTTTCTGTTTCCTTCTACAGTTTATATACTGTTATTTTAGATCATTGATAGTTTTATTATTTCTTATACACATTTTTAAATCATACTAATCATGAGAGTTGCTTTAATATTATTTTTTATGATGCTGTAATATAAAGACGTATTTTTTCAGCCACAACTTGTGTTGCTAAAGCAGTTTAATTCCTGTTATAAAACCAATTTTTTTTTTTTTTTTGTTTTGTTCTTTTTATTACATTTTAAATACGCATTTTGTTACAATATTTAAAATACAAATATATAATAGTAATAATAAATATATATATAATGATCGTTATTAAAAAATAAATCATCAACCACATTAACGGACGCGGAGTAAATCAATTATGACCTAAAAAAATCTTTTCTCTAAACTTAGATTTTGTGTTTTCGGTAGTAATTTAAAACTCTAATTTGATTAACTCTGAATATTGAAGAATAAAATGTAAATTATTATTTAGATTGGACCATTTACTTCATTATATTTAAGTTAAATTTTTTTAAGTTCAATGCCCTTCCAACACTGATTTATATGTCTGAACTAATTGTCATTATTGCAATTAATTATTTGTTTTTTTTAAATAATCAGCATCGAATTTCAAACAAAAAGCTAACTTCAGAACAAATACTCTACATTTTCAAGTGATTTTTTAATTAAGAATTAGTCAAGCATTTAGTTGGCGGTGACTGGATCTGAACTCGTATTACACAATAGGTTGCGTCGTAACAACTCGTTTGATGAAAGCCACTTACCTATCCAGTCACAATAATAATTACCATCGAGGAATAATAAGGAGGTATCTGAATCAGAACTTCAAACAACTTTACAAACATTATGTTGAATTTTTTCAGGAATACTTAATGTGATAAAGTAATCGAGCTGTTGATTTTTTTAACAACAAGATCTTCAAATCTTCATTTATAAACCATGATAATATTGTTAAAATATTGCGATTAATGATTTTAATCTTTAAAAATAAATAAAATAATTTTAAACCTATTATATGACGATTATAAGTTATTTAACAACGCTATCCGTGCAGTAACGAACAGGCGGGTACCCAGGTGTCTAGTTGACAGCTTTAGTGCTAATATAATTAGTCCCAGTTTTTATTTAAAAAAAAAACAAAGATTTCAAAAAAAATTTTTTTAATAGTAAGGAAAATTTGACAAATTGTCATCAAATCGTTATCAAATCGTCTGTAAAAAAAAAAGATTTAATAATTTTCATTTACGAGCATCCACAAAACAATTTCATTTTTTTTTTATCTTAAAGCTGGTTACAATAATATATCCGGCAAAAATAGCTACTGTTTTTCTGATATATTTCAAAACAAGAAAATCACGAACTAAACTAATATGCCAAAAGGATGATTATTAGAAATATGTATCAAATGATGCTAAATCTGGTTTCAGTTTCAGTGTCTGGTTCACCATAAATAACTTTTTAGACGTTTTTATTAGGTTTAGATTTAGTAAAAACGTCCAAAGAACGATTAAAAAACGTACTGTGCCCACTGGGCAACAACACCTCAGATATTAAAACTATGTTTTTCTTAAAAAGATTTAAAACTTTGAGCTTTATAACAGCTTACTTTAATGAGTATGTATAACGTAATGTGTATGTATGACGTAATGTGTATGGTTGACCCACAGTATTTTATTACATACATCGACTAATATTGATAATTTAGATTTTCAACGCAATCTTTAAATAAGAGCACTTTAACGGACACACTATCAATGTTCAACCCTCCGAAATAAGTTCGGCATTCGACTATGCCGACCTAACTGCCGACCTAGAACTCTTCGTAACTCTTCGAAGTAATACTTCGGTACGCAAAAAATATGGTGAATAACAGGCGCTACTTTGAATTAATCTTTATGACTATTTATATTCATTTATATATATTTATATTCATATAAATAATTAAATAAATAAGAGCGTTTTGTAAGGGTAATAAATAAATAAAAAACTTATTTTAATTATCATAACTTAAAAACTTAAAGAAATATGGAGTAAAAGTATAGTTCTTTAGAGTGGCTGAATTAAAAAAAGAAAAGACTTTATTACTAAACAATAGTTTTTAATAAGTTTTGAAATTTTGAAGCAAAGCTAAAAAAAGAAGGTGTTATAAAAATATAAAATCAGATTTTGTTATTCATTGCAGATAAAAACTGTTATTCAAGGCTGAGATGAAAATAATAAATTTTTCAGCTAAAATGCGATTGTTTTCAACTAAAATGAAAAAAACCTTTTCAGCAAAACTTTTCATTTGAAAATTGTATATTAATTTTACAACAAAACATTCTGGATTTTTCATTTTGGACAATTAGAGAACCCCAATTTAAAAGATTTTACAATCTTGTTGTTGCTTTAAATATTGAGTTACACAGAATTTTAAATTTATGAATGAAGTAAATAAATTCAAAACATCTTTTGAAAAATCCTCTTTAAAAAAAAAAATATTATTTTACTATTACCTTATTAAGATATTATTTATTTATAAATATTTTTTTCTTTGTAAAATAAAACTATTGAATTCTTTCTAATAAATGAATAAAATTATCATAAATATGTTAGTAAATGCACTTAAAAGCATTAATTAGTAATTACAATAAACTGTAGGCTACTATCAAAACAAAGTATTCAAACTTTTAGATTTACAATAAAATAGAATTTAACTAAAAATATAATTATATAAACTTATAAAATAAATTATAACCAAGGTTACACCTATCAACACCAACAACATTATTATAAACAAACAGTATTTCGACAAAATAGTGTCAACACGACATTGATTTGAAATAAATATTTTTATTTAAGTTCTAAATTTCAAGTCTATACAATAGTATCTAAAGGAAACAACGTGTTATGAATCAACAGCCAAGAGCTCTGAAGCAGTGTGCAGAGCCTTGCAGGAATCAATTATGGGGCAATTATTACTTTTAGTATAGATCAACGATATGTTGCAAACTTCGTCAAGAATACTTTCTATAATTTAAGCAGGCGGTTATAAATAGTTT